GCACCTCTCACCTACAACAATAGAAACATGCCTTTGCAAAAACAATATACAGAAAAGCACAAATAAAAATGTTGATAAAAACAGGTTAATTTAATGTAAATAAGGCACTAGCTGATTTTAACCATTTGCCACCCGGCCAATGGCCATTTGGCAGCGGCAAAAGTGCTTCTGCATTCCGGGTGCACGCCATTTGGCATGCTCCCGCACATGCTCAGTTCACGCAACTGCAGAGCGGCGCAGCAGCGCGATCTGTCACCGGCCGTGTACCTCGGACACGGCCGATGACAGATCCGAGTACCGGCTCCCGTTGCTGGTACCATGTGACCTGCTGTGACCAATCACAGCAGGTCACATGACAGTTGTATACAATGGATGGCTTCATTCATGCCATCCATTGTATACTAGTGCCTAGCTGTGAATGGTCACAGCAGGTCACATGCACATGTCATGTGATTAGCTGTGACCAAATCACAGCTAAGCACAAAAAAAAAAAAAACTGAATGAATCGATTTCATTCTGGTAAATGCTTGCTTATAGCAAAGTAATTCTTTGCTATAAGCAAATTGTGTAAAAAAAAAAATTCTGATCACTTCCCCAAAGTAGTACAATGTTACTATGGTAACATTGTACTACTTTGGTCATAGTAAAATATGAAAAAAAAAATCTTAAAAAAAATAAAAAACATGTGATAGAAAATGAAAAATAATAATAAAAAAAAAAAAAAATATATATATATATATTTTTTCATACTGTCACCAGTCAGTGTCCCTGTTCACCGCCATGCCAGTTATATGATGACACTGTACTGCACTGGTGACAGTATGTAAAAAAAAAATTGTGAAAATAATTTTTTTAATTTTTTAATTTTCCGAAAAATTATGACAAAAAAAATACAACTTCAAAAAACTCGCCATTCCTCTTATGAAGTACGCCGGACTGTCTACTCTGCAAAAAGGGGTCATTTGGGGATATCTGTACTGTTCTGACATTCTTGGACCTCAAGAAATTAGATTGGCCCGTCAGTACTTCAGGATTGATCAATATTCAGATCTATACCATAGTTTGTGAACTCTATAACTTTCCTACAAACTAAAAAATACATCCTAATTTGGGTTATTTTCACCAAAGACATGTAGCAGAATACATCTCGGCCTAAATTTATGAAGAACAATTATTTATTTGTAAACTTTTATAACAGAAACAAAGAAAAACGTGTTTTTTTTTTCAAAATGTTTGGTCTTTTTTTTAATTTAGCAAAAAATAAAAAACCCAGCGGTGATTAAATACCACCAAAAGAAAGCTCTAGTTGTGTGAAGAAAATGATAAAATTTTAGTTTGGGTACAATGTTGTATGACCGCGCAATTGTCATTCAAAGTGTGAGAGCGCTGAAACGTGAAAACTGGCCTGGGCAGGAAGGTGTAAAATTGCACGGTATTGAAATGGTTAATTACCATTTTAATGAGCCACAGAACCTGTGTAATTAATATGTGTTCGATTTTAAAGGGATGAGGTGGCAACCCTAGCTGCGCCTCCCAGCCCTTTAAGGGGTTCATGATGCTGGGAGGTGGGGTGGAGTTTATGATTGGCTGTCACATGATTGGAAAACTCCCGATCATAAGTAGTGATCAAGAGCTATCCGAGAGGCGGCAGTAACTGTGCGGTGAGCGTGCAGGGCACGCGCTCTTGGCACATGTTTGTTTACATCTGGTGCGCAAATATGCATGCTCTGAGCATCAAGGCCCATCCACTGAGAGGCTGCATATTTGCATACTGTTGGCGTCAACAGGTTAATGTGTTGTTTGCAAGCTGCAAATGATAGGATATTGAGAAACGTATGGGAAATTGTGCTGAGGAATGTTGAGCAAAGAGGGTCCAATTAATTTTACAGAGTACTATACCTATAACTGTCTTGATATTGGCTTCTTGTAGCCCTGCGAGAGGGAGGGGTAGCAACATGAGTGTAGGAAAGGCAAGGGATGGTCTCATCAATACATTGCTGCTCCTTTATTGTCCACTCCAAGGCTTAGGTGAGTCCTTGGCATGGCTTCATTGCTTAATTGGAGTTCCCTCTGCAAGGACCTGTTGTCCAGCTGGGTACAATAGTAAAACTGGTTGAACAGAATTACAAGTTCCTTGGCAGGTTGAATAGTTGCCTTGCATGTTAATTAGCTATTTGGCTGGGGTTCACCTTTGAATTAGTCTTCTGTTTCTTTTTGTCCCTGATATACTTTAGATTCAAGTTCATAATAGAAAAAAAAATAACAATATTCACATTAATGGCTATCTGTGAAAAGTGATTTATATATATCACCCTCCTAGAAATGGTGACTCATTTTCATTTTGAAGTGCAGATTTATTAACCTGAACGAGTGGTGTCAGCTGCTGATAGGTAAAGCATAATGGGCCCTTGTTTCATTCTAGCAACATGCTCCTTTATTCTTGGCTTCACTTACACTTCTCAAGCACATGAATAAAGGTTTCACAAAAAGACAGGAAACAGCACACAGATCAAAATGATTTTATCCTTGTGTTTATTTTTTACATAAGCTAATGAGTGGGAGATCTAAGCCTGACCAGCGAATGGTTAATGGAAAGCTGTAACTAGCACACATTTATTTTATACATATTGTAAAGGCTATGGCAGGATTTAGAGATATGCTATGTTTGAAGCATTTATAAAAAGCTTAGCAGCATAATATATAAGACTGAGTAAGCTTCATTGTAATTTCTTTTCATGTATGATAACAAATTAAAATGCGCTTCGGGTAAATGATGACAGGTTTTGTATTTGTCAAAAACCAGCATGCTGGAAAATGCCTCTTAACTGCCAATTTCAGCTGGAAATAGAAATGAGCGAAGGAAGATAAATTTCCCCTGGAAGCAGTTCTTTTTCCCGTTTTATCCTTTCAGTAAAAGTTCCCATTCCCTCCCCTCCAAAAAATCTAGCTGTAATCTGCTTTCTCATCCCCCAGCACAAATACTGTCCCCCCTTCCCAGAACAAATCCTCACTCCCAAAACCACCCCTCCCAACACAAAACTTCTTCCCCCTTTTCAAGTCTACATGTCCTCCCCCACTCTCCCCAAATCCCTCCTCCCAGCACAACCCCCCCCCCTTCTTCCCCATCCCAGCAATTATCTTCACCACCCTCACTTCCTCCGCCTAGCTCAAATCCTCTTCCCCTCCCATCATAAATCCTCCTTCCCCCCAATCTCCCCTTCTAGAATAAATTCTCCCTCTGAGCACAACCCCCCAGAGTGGGCACCCGGGGCACTTGCCCTGCATTTAATACGGATGTCAGGGGTCCCAGACACCACCATTGACCCCTCTGTGGCAGGCAGCATCTCTTTGATTTAGGGGAGGTGTAAGAGGATATGTACTGGGGGTGCTTTGGGAGGGCAGAGGACTTGTGCTTGAAGGTGTTGTGTAGGATTTCAAATCCAACCCCACAACCACAAGTCCTCTTCCCTTTCTAAACCACCCCACCCCCCTGCACATATCCTCTTACCCCCATCACTTCTCCAAGGTGTAAATCCTTATTACCTGCCCCCCACCGTCCTGGTTACTGTGTTTCCCTCCTCTGTATACATCCATAAACACAGACCTGATTGCAGCTCTTTCGGTGTAATGGCCCTTATCCCTGGTTCCTCCTCCTGTCTGTGTACTGGGGACCATCAGAGCCGAGGAGGAGGCTTCAGTGAGATCCGCTGTGAGGTGTGCAGGTAGCAGGCGAGGAGAGATGCCGGCTACCACTGAGGGGCCGACCGCCAGTGTGGGACCCCGGACACCCTGCAAGAGATGTGGGGCAGGTGTCCCGGGTGCACATGCTAGAGCACCCCTTTTAGGCAGCTAACTGGAGCTCAGTGTGGGAACTTGTTCCAGCACTGGGCTCCAGGATTCAGCACATAATCAGCAAGAATGCCTAATGTTAGCACCAGCCCTGCCCCCCCCCCCTCCCACAGTGGCGGAGCGCCAGGGCCCAGTTGCAAGTGCAACCTTTGCGACACTGGGAGTTCCATCACTGGGTGTAACTGTAGTGCGACAGTCCTTTTCAATCAGTAGTGTAAGTAACCTGAACATCTGAGAATCCTCTTTGACGTGTACATGCAGGATCTTGATGTATACAAGAATCAGAGTGTTTCATGACAATCTACCAGTTTCAAACCTGCCCTGGAAAATTATATGTGAATGGTGATACTTCACGCAAAGGGGAGGAATTTAAACATCCCAAATTCAGGAAGAAGACATACCTATTTCACATTTTATGAACTCTTTGACAACTGGGTGCAGTGGTTTATTAAAATTCAGGTTAAAGTAAACTGAGCACCAATGAATTATCAACTAACTATTGCTTTTATTCCTATTTCAGCGCTGATGTTCTCAAAAAGAGAATGTATGTTGTGATCATAGATCTCCTTTGAAGCAGTTTTAAAGTCAAATATTTGTATTTCTTTTAAAATAACAAACATGTTATACTTACCTGCTCTGTGCAATGGTATTAAACAGCCCCGATCCTGATCCGATCCAAGAATCACCAATTCTTGGGTTCCCCGCTGTGGCTCCTGGCTCCTCTTCTTCTCGGTGTATCGCCAAAGAAAGCCACTTCCTATGGTGGCACACCTGCAAGATTGATCCTGAGCCGCACTGCCTGCATCTTTAGACTCAGACAGCAAGGCTCGGCTTCATCCCCTTCCCTCTTATCACAGGATTTTACTGATAGCAGGGGGAGCCAATGGCTCATGCGTCTCTCAGTAAAGCCTTTGAGAATGGGGAGAAGCGGCAAGAGCTGCTGGAGAAGGGCACAGGGCTGGTACGTATAAGAGGGTTGAGAGGGTGAGACACATACTGAAACATTTCTTACCTTAATGCAGTCAAAAATATTATGGCTTTATACCCACTTTAAATATCTATATGCTTAATGGGAAATATTTGCTTCTTGCCAAGATTATAGATAGAGCCAGGGGCGGACTGACCATTTGGAAACTCGGGCACTGCCCTAGGGCCCGGGGTCAGTAGGGGGCCCCATGAGATGCCCCTGGTACCTTTTTCATAGGCATTGAGTTTGGGCAAGGACACAGGGGCCCCATGATCCCCTATTGCCCGGGGGCCCATGAGTTGTCAGTCCGCCCCTGGATAGAGCAGAATATGATGTCCATAATTATTCTGTAACCAACTGTGTATAGCTGTAGATAGGTGTTTACAGACCTCCATGGCATGAGAAAAACATATCCTTGACCAAATGAACACTTTGAAGGCCTGTAGAAGTATATCCTTATGATTAAGGTAATTGTGAAACGTGTTAAGGAGGGATGCTTCCTGGGCTGTTATGCTGTTAGTGGTTCAATAAAAGTGTTCTGAAGAGGGGACGTCAATGTCCAGTTTACATTTACCCGTAAAAAGTAGGGATGGGTGGGATGATTTCACCAACATTGATTTCAAAGCAAAATTACAGATTTTAGAATCAGCGAAATTTCAGAAAACTCTTCATTTAGCTTACTGAGCTGCTCAGGTGAAATTTGCCTAAAAAGGAAAAACAATCTACTTTTTATTTAGTGTTTTTGGTAGGTAGTATTTCATGTAGTTTAGCTTATTTCATTAGTGTTATTTGTATATATTTTTGTATCTGATTGTATTTTGCATACTGTCAATTTATTTATTTTTTTACTTTTTTTATTTTTATTTTACTTTTCAAAAGATTTTTTCTTCCTGTAAACATAATCAAAATAGTGTGGCTAATGAGTCAATGTTTTTGCCAAAAACAATTCCAGGATAGTTGAAAAGAGCTTTCGTACCCTTTAGAAGCAATTTAAAGCCCACTGTACCCTCAGAAACCACCACAATTGTGCCTTTTTTATCGATTCCAGTGAAGCACCAACAGAAATACCTTTGTGTAAAGGGTTGTGTTACATGCACTAGCAGATTTGGATGAAGCCATTTTAGAAACTTTTTTTTTTTCATCTTTTGAGATAAAGGTTTTCCAGAAATGTATAAAGGCTGGCCATTTTATGCACCCCTTTCAGTGTTAAATATTTATTCTCAGCCCTGTGACTGCCATTTTTGCTGGACAGCTTGGTCTGTTAAAGGAAGTTAATAAAACACAGACTTACTGGCTTGAATAGCAGGCAAAAATTAAAGAAAAAAAGCCATAGAAAAGAAAAACCAAAGCAGCTATCACATCCGAGATGGGTAAAATACAAAATAACACATTTTAATTTTTGGGTTTATTACTGCTTTAAGCTTTAATCAACTTCCTATAGCTTTCTTTATAAATAGCACATTCAATACTTATCACTTATAGTTGCATGGTCCAAAGCAAGAAGTGCATTAATATAAATAACCACAGTACTGACCAGCTGTTGTAGCTTTTAGTAAAATATTTAAAAGCAAGATAGAAAGAAACACATATTTTAATATACACGCATGTGCAACATCGATAACATAGCAGTGAAAATCAATATTTACATTTGCTGAAATGAATTATCTTCATTAATATCCATCATCTTACAATAAACTATTCATATGTGTATAAAACTAATCTTGGAGCAATAAAATATTTCAGATTTAGAAATGCTTGCAATTGCCAGTTTTTGATATTACAGTATGAAACATATGGTATTTTTCCCTGTTTTCATCATCTCCAATTCGATGGATTAATCAGTTTATTTAATCAAATGACCTCAACTTTAAAGCGGATCTGTCATCTACATGCAACAGCACATTAAACTCATGTCTGAAGAAAAACAGCAAAAAACCAACAAAGCATTACACTGTCTTGGGCTTATTGCAAATGTACATTCGTGTCAAATATGAACATTTTGCATTAACCGCTTCCCGAATGATCCTATAGCAGAAATACTGCTACAGGGCAGCACGGGTGCGTAAAATCCTGTATATATATATATATATACTGTATATATATACTGTACGTGATTTTGCATTTCTGGATAGGGGGCTCATGAGGGCCGTGTGAGCACCCTACCTGAACCACCATTTGTGGCAGTAGCTGTCAATCACTGGCGCTCAGAGATTTCCGAGGGATCTCCGATGGGGAGAAGAACTGTTTTGTTTGCTATCAGTTCTCCTCCCCCCTGTCAGCTCGGGCACACTGCTTTGGATGGCTGTGCACAGCACAGCCATCCAAAGCAGTGTGATTACAGTGAAGCACACTGAAGTGGCCTGCTAATAAAACACTCCCAGCACACAGTTAACCCTTTGATAGCCTCTCATGTTAACCCCTTCCTGCCCAGTGCCATTAGCACAGTGTTAGTGCTTTTTTTTAGTATTGATCACTGTATTGGTGTCACTGGGGATGTCAGTGACGCCTAGGCAGTTTCCCCCAGTGTCAGAATGTCCACCGCAGTCCCGCTATAAGTCGCTGATTGCCGCCATTACTAGTAAACATTTAAAAAAAATTAAAATCCCAGTATATATACCGTCATTTGTAAACGCTATGATTTTCATGTAAACCAATTTACACGTATTGGGATTTTGTTTAGCAAAGACATGTAGCAGAATAAATTTTGGCGTAAATTTATGACAAAATGTGTTTTTTTTTTAAATATTTTACTGGACATGTTAATAGCAAAAAGTCAAAAATATTGTTTTTTTTTTTCTCAAAATTGTCTATCTTTTTTTATAAAAAAAATAAAAAGCTCACAGGTGCTCAAATGCCACCAAAAGAAAGCTCAATTCATGGGAAAAAAGGACGTAAATTTCATTTGGGTGCAGTGTTGCATGACCATTACCTTGGGTGCAGTGTTGCATGACCATTACCATTGTCAGTTAAATAATGCAGCGCTGTAACACAAAAATGGCCTGGTCAGTAAGGGGGGTAAATCCTCAGAAGGCCAAGAGGTTAGAAACCAGGGAACCCACTGACAGTCTAAAATGCATATCTTGGCATTCATATATTTATCTATGGTTCTTGCTGATTATCTATATGGCACAAAATGGCAAAAAGTTAAGCCTAGTGATGTTTTTTGGGCAGCAGGCATTATTGTAGAGTTGTTTGTCACAGTCAGATATGAATTGTAATGAAACCAGAAGTAAGGGATTGGGTGGTACCCAAAACCATGTTTCGGGACTATTCAGAGCAACGTACAACTGAAATTTCGGGTGAAAGTTGGTACAGTGGGTCAGATGGGTGGTACAGAAGTACTGAGAAATATGTTGTGAGCAGTTAAAGTAGACAAAAACCCTAAGTCTAGGTTCACATTAGCCCAAGCTATCTGTGATGGAACAGCACCACAACTGCAAGCCAAGAGTTTGACAAGTGGCGCCGCCTGTAAATACAACATATCACATAAAATTTGCCACAGCATGTAAAGTGTATTGATGACTTTATGTGAGCCGGCAGGGGGAATAGTTAAACTGTGGCTCAGCCACCTCAGCCACCAGCGAAAGCCTGATTGCCCATGTAACAGAGACTGAACTGGATGGCATTTAATTTGCTAAAGCACTGTGTTTCATATTTACAATGGAGGAATGGTTTGAGCCACTTAGAGTAAGAAAAATGTCCTAAACTGCCTTTAAAACCAAGCAACAGGCACATCAGGTATGTTTCCCAATTTGGTATCCCTAGTGCACAGAAAGCTTAAATGAAAAGGCCATAAGAATTCTTTTTACCCCAGGTGACACAGGCAGTACTTGGAATTTTACACTATTTTAGTTTATACATTTATCACAATTTCAATAAATACACTATATATGCTAACATTTTAAAGACTAAGTACAGCCAAAATAGAAACAATGGCACAAGGGACATAACTGACAGCCAGTAGGATGGGTCCCTTGTGCAGCTGGCTCTTCTTTTAGTTGAAATCCTCCTTCATCCATGCTTCCCCCACTACTGCTGCTGCAATCTAGCAGTGTGGTTAATACAACTAAGAATGGAGGAGGCAGACCTTTCAATCATCTGCCAGTTCTCCATCCATAGATCTTTCTTCATAGAACTTGTAGTAAGGTTTCAATGCATAGAGCAGCTAGGCAGAATCCAGTTTCATAAATCTATTCTTCGCTTCCTATACTTCAAGGGGTATCAATATCCTGTCTAGAATTACTGCTCTAGTGAGTCTACAAAAAAAGCCTTGCAAAAAGTGTTAGCCAAGTATGTGGCCTGTTTTTTGCTTTGCTGAGGGTCAGGGTAGAATTCTACCCTCCCTCCAAGATGAATTTTAGATCATGACCCATTCCAATCAAAAGGGGGGGAAATGCTCTTTAAAAGCATTCCAGTTTCTTTAAATCATTTACCATGTGAGAGCTGGTAAATTATTTTTATTTTATTTTTTATACAGCTGTTTAGGAAGGTTTGAAATATGTTTAGCTTCAGTTGTTCCTTTTAGACAGTTTTTTTTCTGTTGTGAAGTTATCCATTTGTTGGCTGTACTCATAAACTTATAATAACTTTAATAGATACTAAGCAGTGTAATATTCAAATGTGTCCTCTGGGACAGATCATAGCAGAAGTGGGTTGATGAGATCATGCAGTGATTTGTATGTAATTCCATTATCTTGATTTGCCATATAAATTTGTAACTGACCTTTTGTCATTTGCTCATATAAACCAAGAGAATACATTTCTATGACTGCATTATGCAGTAAATCTCTACCTTGCACTGAGTGCGGAGTTGCCATCTTGTCAAAAAAGTACGTCATCCAAAATAGGCATTTAATAAGTAATAAAACTCTGTTGCCCACTTTACCTATGCTGTCTGCTTGACAGCTCCTAGCACACAAAGCTGCAAAATACTAGCATTTATATATGAACAACCTACATAGATTGAAGATTTAACAGAGTAACCTACATGCCAAAAGCAACAACTATGATACTAAAATCAATAAAAAACTGACAGCAATAAAATAATTATTCTCATTAGAGATGAGATTTGGTTCAGGTCAGAATGTCCGTTTGCAGTTTACCAAGCCACCAAGCAAACTGACCCATAGGGGTTTATTTACTAATCCTGGTTGACTCAGAATCTTGTCCACTTCTGCATAAAAACCAATCAGCTTCCAGGTTTTATTGCTGAAGCTTAACTGAACATGCTAAGGTTAGAAGCTGATTTGCTACCATGCACAGGTGCCCAAG